TATGAAGAAAATTGGGGGCCCAGCTTGGCCACAGTGGCTCTTGTGCTTTCCTTCACCACAATTTCTGTGCTAGGAATCTTCCTGAAGTACCATGACACTCCCATCGTCAAGGCCAACAACCGCAGCCTCTCCTACATCCTCCTCAACTCCCTCCTTCTCTCCTTCCTTTGTTCATTGCTTTTCATTGGTCGGCCCGTGAAGGTGACATGTCTCCTTCGACAAACTGCTTTTGGCATCATCTTCTCAGTGGCTGTTTCTTGTATGTTGGCCAAAACTATCACAGTGGTTCTTGCATTCATGGTTACCAAGCCAGGATCAAAAATGAGAAAATGGGTTGGAAAACAACTAGCCATTTCTGTTGTTTTCTCCTGTTCCCTTGTACAAACTATTCTTTGTGTAGTCTGGCTTTCCACCTCTCCCCCCTTCCCAAACACTGGCATGAACTCTTTTAGCAGTGAAATCATTTTGGAATGTAATGAAGGATCTGTTGCGATGCTTTATTGCATCTTGAGCTTCATGGGCTTTTTGGCTATTGTCAGTTTTGTTGTGGCTTTCCTAGCCAGAAAGTTACCAGACACTTTCCAGGAAACCAAATCCATCACCTTCAGCATGCTGATCTTTTGCAGTGTCTGGTTGTCCTTCATACCTGCCTACCTGAGCAGCAAAGGAAAATACACAGTAGCTGTGGAGATCTTTGCCATCTTGGCTTCCAGTGGGGGACTACTGGTTTGTGTCTTTTTCCCCAAATGCTACATCATTCTGTTGAGGCCTGACTTTAATAGAAAAGAGCATCTGACAAAAAGAATCAATTAAATTATATTTTTCATGGTTTCTTTTTTTCATGAAACATGCTACTATTTTCCCTAAAATCTTCAATACAAAATTAAGATGTACTTTTATATGCAGATAGTCAATGTGTATATATCTTTCAAATGTACAAGAGACAACTATTAGTAATAAAGAGACTCCTGGCTCCCAAAGCAGATTTTAGAAAGTCCTTGGGAAGTATATTAATAGTGTATCCATGCTTCTATAAAATAGAAAAGTCAGCAGTTTTCCTGATTTGGTAAGGCCGAGAAAGAGAGAGATTTGCTCATGTTTGGATATATCTTAACTGGACTGACCATTAGGATTTCTTATACAAGAATGTTAAAAATTAAGCAATAAATAAACACAAAGTTGGTTTGTGAAGGTTTTCTGGTTTTCTGTTTTTTTTTTTTTTTACACACATACACACACACACTGATTTGTTTTCTTCTGATTTCTGAGACCTCAAATTTCTGTTTTTGTTTTGCTTTGTTTTTTAATATCGCACTGAAGCAAACTGAAGGCAGTTATAATACGATAAGCATGTTGACTGTGGTTGCATTTCAGAGATCCTAGAATTGAGTATGTAATTATCTCCTGTCTAGTAATCAGATTAACAAATATAAAGTCCTAAAATATATTAGAACTTATATTTTTTCTCAGTTCTAAAGGGAATTGTGAAGTCAGTTAGAAACTCTTTGAAGCAAGACTGTTTATCTTTGTCATGTAAAACTGTATGTATGTACACACACACACACACACACACACACACACACATTCTTGTCAGCCTAATGGATTGCTATAGTTGACTCTAATGTCCTCCTGACTTCAGATGAGCTATGTGGTGAATGGGCACAAAGGCATTTAAATCATAATGTCAAAACGATTGAACAATGGGCCAAAACATCTATTTCCCAGAAAATGAGCATATATCTGGTATGAAAAATGGTAATGTCAGGCCAGATGGATATCACATCACTTCCTTTCAATACAATAAAGATTGCAATAAAGATCTGGTTCAGTTTGTGTGTGTGTCTCCAGCGTCCTGCTCCTATTCTGAATATTATTGTGCCTCTTGTTGCTGCTCCACGTTCTCATCCTACTCTACTTGTAATATTTCCTATCCTTGTGTGATCTTCTTCTCTCTGTGTAATTTTTTGTTTGTTTGGATTTACTTTGTAATCTGATGAGATTTTCACATTCTAATGCTTTACCTGAAAGTTTACTAATAATGAACAGGTGACATGTTTTCCAAGGAACACAGGAATTATAAATCAAATCTTTTATTGAGACGTGCTCCTGTTTCACTTATGATTCACCCAGCTGTACCTTTTTCGAGATGGGACTCTGAAGCCCGCAAAATTGTCTCTGGAACCACTTCTAGGGAATCGAGGACTCAGTTTTCTTGCAGTCCCAGCAGCCTGAATGACACCAAGAGCAGCGTCTACCATGAGCTCTCATGCTTTGGTCAAAATGCGGAAAACAGCACTGCAATGCAAGCTCCACGCCCTTGGGGCAGGCATGCCATATGGTGATGCACAGAAAAAAGGGGTGGGGCATGCATCACTCAGAGCCCCCCTGCCCCTCTTCCCTCTTTCCACCAATACAAGATTAAATCCTAGATTTCTTTCTTTTCCACCCTTATGTCAGAAAGGCCTTGTAGGCACCCTTTGATTGGGTTTATCCATCATGGCTAGACACAGAGAGTTTCACATCACTCTTCTGAGCTTCCCTTTTTCCAGTGTGATCACCTCAACATAGACTAACCCTCCTTACAGATTCTCCATTCTAGCCCTGCTTCTCTCTGCTTCTTTCAAATGCCAGCTAATATTGTTTGGGGACTGAAAATAGCTTGGGATGACTTGATTCTCCCACTTAATATGCTGTCCTTGCCTTTGAGGATGTAAGGTCCTCAAATTCTCCACATTTGTTCCCACAAAACTATGTAGCACTAGGGACATCCGAGTTTGGGTCACAGACATCAAGATGGCATCGTGTCACAGAAGTCAAGATGTCATAGTGGCCATATTGACTTTTATGAAATACCCACCCATCACCTATAGACCCCCTCCTCCAATGAAGTACTGACCTCATTCTGAGAAAGTAGTAAGTGCCTGGAAAAATGAAGCCTTTAAGAACCTGGACCCTAAGGTAATAGTGAAGATGCCCCTTCAAAGGAGGGAGATTTTCTTGTTCTCCCCAGAATTATAAAAACTATTGGAGGTTTTCAAATTGTTGTCCTGGGTTTTTCCCCTTAAGATTTGCATCCTGGATTCCCTTTGTGTGTCTTCTCATAATATACCAATGGTAGAATCATATGCAATGAAGATTCAAAAGAAGCAACATACACTGAAATCCCAGAATTCAAACATATCTTTAAAAAATGACTATTACATTTATTAGATATATATTCCTAATAAATCTAATCTAATAATTAGATCTAATAACAATTTATTAGATGTATATCTAATACATGTATGAACCAGTTTGGTGTATGAACCAATCATAGATATCAACCGATCATAGAATCAATCATGGATGTATGAACCAGTTTGGTGTAGTGGTTAAGGCACCAGGCTAGAAAGTGGGAGACCTTGAGTTCTAGTCCCGCCATGGGCACAAAGCCAGCTGGTTGTACTTGGGCCAGTCACTCTCCCTCAGCCCTAGCAAAGGGGCAATGCCAAACGACTTCCAAAAAACCTTGCCAAGAAAACTAAAGGGACTTATCCAGGCACTGATTCACTTATCAGTGAATCAACACTGATTCAAAGTCACAAATCTAATCTAACAAATTAATCTAATAAATAGATCGAATAACAATTTGTTAGATGTATATTCCTAATAAATCTATTTCTAATAAATGTAATTAATAAAACTAATTAATTAATCCCCTTCATGGATCACTGCCTTGTCGTGGTGAAGTGGCTTGCGTAACTCAGTGAAGCCATGAGCTATACCGTGCAGGGCCACCCAAGACGGACAGG